TGTTTTGACTGACAGGTCAGTGCTGATCTGGGTTTCAGTGAATGTTTTCTCCCTTTTCTCTTTGTTCTTTACTTAAACAATATAAAACAGCGAGTTTGCCCCTGACAGCTGTGACCGAGGGGCAGTGGGGGGGCAACAACCAGACTGACGTCACAGCCACGACGGAATATCAAAAATACTTTTTCTAAACTCTACGTTTGGCACGTTGTTAAGCAATACATCCGCCAGAGGACAGTGCTGAGTTCAGAGTTCATTTCCGGTCTGACCGCAGTTTCAGACCGTAACAAACATGGCGGCAGCGGAGGAGGTGATGATAGAGTTCCCGCTGGGAGGGAGGTCCAAACAGGGACGGTGTTGGTCCCCGTGTGGACATTAGAGACACGTGTGGACGACGACTTCTTGTCCCCGCTTCAAACACTTCAGTTGTTCCGGCATTGTCTTCTTCTTGATGTTGTTTTTATGGTCGCTTCGTCAGATAAACCGCGCGACACCGCCCCCACGACTCCTAGCGGTACTGCTCCGTTTGGCCAAGCACCGGGAGGCTCTGAAAACGAACCGAAACCGACGTAGAACCACAGCAGATGTAGTCGTTTTAGTTGTTGTAGTTATTACTGCAGCACGGAATTAAAATAACAATAAAATAAAATGAACAGGTCACATTATCAACCTTCATGTTTTGACACAGGAGGAAAGGCTGTAATGAAAGTTAGATTTTTATCTTAACTGAAGGCTTTTTTCAGACCTTTTTTTTTAAGGTCCAACGTCATGTACTACAAATAAATATATTGAGCTCATTTTCCTGATTATTTCTTCATTTTAATGTTGTATTTTTTGGCCTGGGTCAGAGGTTTGATTCTAATGGTTAACAGGAGGATGTAACCCCCCCCTATAACATCACTGTAAAGAACAAATTTCGAGTGGGAGCTTCATAAACCGTGACCCCCGGCGTGCCCCCCCGCTGTGACCCCTCTGACACAGATCCAACACTCCTCTCAGTTTATGGATTGGAGGAGCGTTTTTATTGCAGGTCTCCTGGAACACTGCTCCTCTGTGATGACTTCCAGCTGTGTTAGGTACTGACCAACAGGGGGGGACACTGAGTCACTCTGCAGTACTGTCTCCAGGTACTACAGAGTATTTCACTCATTAATTCATTATCGACTTCTTTATCTTCTTGGCGTCGACAGGTCGGGGCGCGGCCCCTCAGATCATTTGCCTGAAGTCACTTAAATATTGGCAACGTTGGTCGACTCATCAAAGCCCGACTTCGATCCCATCTGATAAGATTCAAGTCAAACCTCAGGCACAGACGAACAGATGAAACGTCTCAGTCTCACCACAGAGGGCGCCGTGTCACAGCTCAGGTCTGACAACAACAGTGAAGAGGAGACGGTCGGTGCGCGGTCATGAACGACTCCACCACAGGAGGGCGGAGGAGTTCTTCAGCTGTGGTTACGACTGACCTACACTCACTCTAATGGTAACCAACCCGTGGCTCCAGGTATACCAACAGGGTCAAAGGTGTTCAGGCCAGTACCTGCATGAGTTGTAGCTAGTAATGTTAACAACAACAGTCTTAACTGTTTGTAGTACCAATGAGGACCGGGGGGGGCGGGGTGTTACACTGAACACACACACACAGGGACCATCATGTGGGAGGTGGAGGTCTTTATTCTGCTGTGGTGGAGGTCTTTATTCTGCTCTGGTGGTCCACTGCTCTGTGTCTTCATCCTCATATAAATGACACGTAGTAGTAAGTACTGAGTACTACTCCTGAAGATACTGCAGTAGTGAACCCTGGACTTTACAGCATCCTGATGTGACAGTATTCAGAGGAGGTGGAGGAGGTGGAGGAGGTGCAGCAGCTACTTCTTCTTCCCACCTTTCAGAGCCTTGTCCAGCCCCTGGATGTACTCACGGGGAACCCTGTAGTGTTCTGGAGAGAAATCCAAATATCAGGATCAAATACTTCCCATATTTACATATTCAGAGTTTCTGGTCTGAACCTAAGAGTAAACGGCCGACGTGGTGGATCTGGTTTCCCTGGATCTGGACCAGGAATTTATCCTTGGTCCCAGGGATGGGCTGGAGAACTGAGCTGGCCTGGACCCGGTGCTGAAGAGCAGACGCTACAAGAGCCGGGTCCAGGTGATAGACCTCAAGGTTCTTTATGAGAGTCCCCTGAAGGGGGGGGGGGGGTGAGAGAGGGTGAGAGAGAGAGTAGTGTTAAAAACACGATCCTTCATCTGATGATGTAAAACATGATACCTTTTACACACACACACACACACACACACACACACACACACAGTCACCTTCTTGTTGGACCCCCGTGAAGCCACAGTGACGTCTATGGGCTCAATCCGACCTTTCCTGACCTCTGCTGTCTGTCCAGGGAAGACCACCTGATAACACTCCTGCATTCTGCCTAAAGTCCTGGAAGAAGACAAGGACAACCTGATAAATACTTCATATATTTATATATATGTGTGTGTGTGTGTGTGTGAACTGTACTCCACTTTGATGAAGAGAGAATGAAACCTGCTAAAAAGATCCTCCCACTTCAGAACCTCCACCTCAGAGAACTCCGACTTCTCCAGCAGACAGTCACAGAGAACTGGGTTCACGATCACATAACTGTCAGAGGAACGGACAGAAGATTAGACACTGGAGTGGAGAAGACACAGGAGAAGACGGAGGAGAAGACACAGGAGAAGACACAGGAGAAGACAGAAGAGAAGACAGAGGAGAAGACGGAGGAGATCAGATGGACTCACTTCTTGTTTTTCTCATCCACCAGTTCGTTCGTTTTCACAAAGTCAGTGATGATTCTCCTGACGTCAGCGGCCGACACCACCGAACCTTTCCTGGAAACAAAGACAACAGAGGACACGGTGGTGGTCTCTGAGAGGACAGAGGACACAGAGGCGGTCTCTGAGAGGACAGAGGACACAGAGGTGGTCTCACACACACCTTTTGTGTGCATCCATGAAGAGAGGCTCCACCCGAGTGGACACTGAGAACAGGGTGGTGATGTCGGGTGGATGGTACGGCGTCCCTCCGTCCCCGTCATGCTGTGTGTCCTCCGTCTCCGCCTCCGTCTCCTCGGGGACACTGAAGGACCGCAGTCTAAACAACAGACAGAGACAGAGTTGAGGTGAGTCTGGTGCGGACCTGGACCTGGACCTGGACCTGTCAGCCGACTGGGACAGACTCTGGGCTCCTCCAGTCCACCTCCACGATGCTCTCCACCCCCCTGGTCAGCTCCTTGACCCGGATCAGACCGGACTGCTGCTGCATGACCTGCAGGAACTTGGACAGCTGGTGGGAAACAAAGATGAGGGGAGGTCAGTGATGAAGATCTCCACAGAGTCCAGGACTCTGTGGAGATCTTCTTCTCTACCTTCTTGTACGAGGACTTCTTCAGGTCCAGCTGCTGCCCCCTGGGGCTGGGAAAAAGAAAGACACAGACCGGGCCTTTATTTGATCCAGTCAAAGAAATACTAAATATTCTAGTTATGAAAAACACAAAAACATTATTTATTATCTCATAAAATAACGACAACCACCAGGTGGCGTTTTTTATCACTCTGTTCATTCTGTAAACAAACTGGAGTGATGTTTTTATCAACCGTTGGTTGAAGGAACGTGTATGTGTGTGTGTTTACCAGCAGGAGAACATGTGGTTTCTGAGGAAGGAGCTGGTCAGCAGAGGCAGGTCCGACTTCTTCACTTTACTCTTCAGCGCGTGAAGAAAACACTGCAGCAGCAGAGCGTCCGTTCTCTCTGTAGAACCACAGAACGTTACCAGAACATTCTCCTCCGTCGAAGTTCAGTTTTAGGTAGATTTTTCAGACTGTACCTTGAGGAGTCTTCTGCTCCTCCTGGTCCTCCTCTCCTCCCTGGTTCTCCTCCTCCTCCTCCTCCTCCTGTTCTAGGTTCAGCTCCTCAGTGTCACAGCACAGTTGGTCAGTAACTGATTCCTCAGAGTTCTGCTTCTGTTCCACACAGTCCTCCTCTTCCTCCTCCTCCTCCTCCTCTTCGTCTTCACAGGTCCTCTGTCCTTGTCTGTCCACATCTGGTAAAGTAGGTGGACACAACTTGTCTCCAAAAGCCCTGGAACAGATTTGTATCAAATGTTCAGTTAAATTACAGGAGTTTATTTGAAGAAAACCAAAGTTTGTGGTTTCATGTTTGATACGGGAACGTCACTGGACCACAGCAGTAAAACCAACCAGCGTCGGTCAGAGACCAGTCTTACCACAGGCTGTCCATGTAGGTGTGAAGGACACCAACTCCTCTTCCCTTCATGCCACAGCTGTGCATCTGTGCAGTGGACACGGAGGCTCTGCCCACGGCCACCGCAGCTCTACGGTCAACAGGAGCACAAGTTAAAGATGGGAGCGGAGGATAAACATGGGGTTCAGGGACCTCTGGTTATATCTGACCTATTATTGACTAACGTAACAGCACAGCACTCCCCCTGTCGGACATCGGGGAGACCACCTGGTGGCACCACCACACCGGGCAGCATGAGATCTGTGGAACATCAAGAGTTCAGTGAAGAGTTTTCACCTCGTTAAACTGAGGAGCGTGTGTTAGAACTGAACCTGCTCCTCCCATCAACTTCTGCAGCACCGGCGGCCATGTTTTGAACGTTGGCAGGAGATCAGGGAAACGCCAAAGAGTATACACTGGAAACAGAGATCAACACATTACAGAAAAAACAAAATCCAGGGGAAACTGACCAGGAGTTTGAATGAAGGTGGAGTTTTTCACCTGTGGGGTAAAGTTTTTTATCCACTTCAAAGAACAGCGGGTTTCTGTGCACAACATAAAGTGTCACAGCGTCTCCTTTATGTGCATACGTTTTGACCACGTTTATTTCGTCTTTGTTGGAGACCAGTTCTGAGAGCTGCTCAGCCGTGAACGAAGGAAACGCTGCAGATACGTCGGCCTTCAGCTTCCTCCTGAAGACGGGAACAAAGAAGAGTCAGAGTCAGGGCTGACGTCACTCACTGTGTTCACACAACAAATAATAAAATAACTAAAAACAGCAGTTTGTCCGTGTTTGTTCATTACAGAGTCTGTGGTTTTACTGTGAAAATAACAAAACGATTCAAAGAACTGTAGAATTATTGTGACGTTATTATCAGTTCTCATCATCATGCAGCGTCACAAGATCCTGGAAATGACGTGTTTGATGACGTGTCTAAATACGGCCGTATGAGCCAGAGAAGAAACTTCTAACAACCAATAATGTTGTAATGACTGAAGAAAATTCTCCAGATCATAAACATCAGCGTCTGTTTCACGTCACTTCCTGTCACACAGGGACTTCACGGTCACTGTTTCGATTTTCCAGTAATAACTACAGAAACATGAGGACGTTTGTAGTAAACACACACACAGACCGTCGGTCACGTGTCTGTAACTGAGGTGGAGTTAAAGACGACGTTCAAGTTCAACGAACTACAGACACGATCTGATGAATGAAAAAAACATTTTTACATGTAAATACAGTGTTGTCTGAATGTAGACAGAGTTGGACCTAAAGATGTGTGTGTGTGTGTGTGAAGGAGAGAGGGGGAGAGAGACGGCGGCCGTCTTCAGTCACCTGTCTGATCCTTTGATAAGGGTGTTGGATTTGACACGGAACGGTTTGGCAAACATTTCCTCAGCGAAACAATAAATAAAGGAACGACTATAAAGTGAAGAAAGTTTGTCAGCGAATCGACCAAGTCGATAACTGAGCTAAAAGAACATTTCTACACACGGTGAACATCAGAACATTCCTCGTTGTAAAGCTCGGTACGTCACTTATTTATATCCGGCGGAAATGGCATCGGTGCACGAAACATTGGTTCCGCAGCGCTGGTGCCGAACACTGACCGATCGTTTCTCCCGGTTTAAAAAATCTGTGGCTACAATTGTACAGACACCAAACAAACAAACAAAAATAACAAAACATTAAACCAACAAAACAGTCGTGTTTTTATTACAGCTGCTACTTCATATATTTAATACCATGTCACTTTTGAAGCACCGATACGAAATGAAATCGAGCCAGGGGCGGTCATAACACTGGACCGATGAAGCCAAACCCCCCCCGCCCCCCGAAAGAGCCCGAAAAAAGGCTTTGTTTCCTAGTTTCGTTCTATTTAAAATGACACAGTAGTAAAATATAAACTATTAAACTATTAAAATGACTCTTTGTATAAAAACTGAAGAAACGTCATAACAAAACTGAGAAATGATGAGAATATATTTAACACCACGAGGAGCAGATTCTTTTTGTTCCATTGACCCTGAACAGGTTGTGTTTACTGTAAATTCTTTGTTTTATTTTACTGTTTGTGTTTACTGTCCCAGACATAAACTGTTCTTCTGTGTTCCGTGGGTTCCTGGATGAGGTAAGTGTTGGTTTCTTGACTCTCTCTTCATATACATCATAACACAGGCCTGTGGAGACACGACCTCCTTTGTACCGGCGTCAGATCGTCGTCTACGGTACAGGCAGCATGTTGAGACTCCTCCGTCGCGCACCGTGGTTCAGGCTTGAAGTCAGTGCCATTATTACACACTGTGTCATGAAGTAGTACTGCAGTAGAAGGAGAGTACTACTGTGGTACACCACCCTGATGTAGCAGCTCAGTTTATATATATATATATATATGGTGAGCAGCAGCGCTCCACTCTGGCCTGTGAGGCAGTGATGAGGTCATCAGGTCATCACCACGGCGACCTGAAGCTTCACCTTCAGAAACTGAATCTCCTCCTGACGTCTGTGATTCTTCTGTTATTTATGAAGATGCTACAGAGGTGTTCAGAGGTCAGAGGGGGTGAGGAGGGGGTGAGGAGGGGGTGAGGAGGGGTGACTCCCTACAGGGACTCCCCCCTCCTCACCCCTCACCGCTCCCATCAGTGATGTTTATGGGACCAGTGAGTGAGGCAGGAAATGCCTCGGCATTGTTCGTATTTGACTGTCTCTGGGGAGCAGTGCATCATGGGAGTCGATGTTAGCAGCTCTTCTTCTTCTTCTCCTTCTATTGTTTTACCCAATTGCACACTGACCTGATTTGTTTCCATCATCAGAGGATCAAAGGAGCAGCTGGTTCTCCCCAGGTTCTGGGTTAGAACTGGACCTAAATTCCTGAGAACATCTCCTCTTTATGGACCTTCTTTATGGACCTTCATGCTCCAGACGTTCTACAGACACGTGGGGAGACTCCAGCGCCAACATGTGTCGACTTTCTCCACGGTCATTTACTGCAGTGGTGATTACAGCAGCGAGCGTGGACAAATGACAGGGTTTAACGAA